TTAAAATGTCATCTACTGAGAACTCCATTTCATCTGTAGTTCTTTAGATGCCTTTATGATACCAACTAGGTGAGTCTGAAATGCTAACTTGAGTGTGATGTCATGATTCCCAAAGTCAGTGCACCTTTCATTGTATTCTCTGAATAATAGGTCTATAACAGCTGCATATTCTTCAAATGATTTGCATATAGCATCTTCCTCATCAGTGGCCTTTACTAACTGGGGAAAACATTCATCTGAAATTTCCTTTTGAAGAAGAAGTATTTTGAAAAAAGATAGCTTTTTCTGAAATGCTTGAATTTGTTGCCACATAGCATAGATAGACTTAGTTTTATCTTGCAACGAAATATTCACGTCATATTGATATGACGTGATATCACACAGAAATGCTGCATTCCTATGGAAATCTTCTTTTGACAATTCACAAATATACTGATTTTTCATAAAATTTAACTATCTGTTCTTGTAGAGATAAAAATTTGGCTATTACCTGTACCTGCAATAGCTGATATACTTTAGAATGATTGATAGAGCAAATCTACACTGAATACCTTATAGCTCAACTTTAGCATGTTAAAAATTGAGGATGCCATGCTGCATTATGCATAAACATAGTTAATAATATTTGTATCTTGTTGCAAAATGTCATATAAACTAGCATAGAGATTTTGCCTATGCAAGAAATGAGAGCATCTGGATCTCTTAATGCTTTTTTTTGTAATCTGTACAATAAACCCTTACTGTTTTCCTGCCATGGAAGGTGCACAATCTATATATACACTCAGTAAATTTACTAAATTCAGTCCAACATTATGACATTTATCTTGAAAATTGCTGAAGCTATCTCTTCCCTATGTTCTGTTCACAGGAGTGCCCAGAGTGAGTAATTCTTTATAGCAAAAAAAAAAAAAATAATAAAATCTTCTGTTATGATCTAAATGAAGTATAAAACCTGCACCAAGTCAGTAATATTAGTTGATTCATCCAAAACATTGAATAATATTTATTTTCCTTTTGAGGTATTGCATGAAGTTGTTCTGTGAAGTTGAAGGCTAATTCATGCTGCCAGTCATTTATGGTTCTTCTTGAAAGAGGTTGTTGTTTGTTCTTTGAAACATTATCAGGGTCTAAGCATCCCACAACTTTGGCAATGCATTCATTCACAATTTTTTCATCCATGAATGGCTTCCCTTTTTATCCTGAGTTTGTAAGTTGCTTCAGTGTTCAGGCCTATTGTCGCTTGAAAGAATGGTCTTTGCTTTTGTTTTTTATCTTTTAATTTCTGCAATATCTTTTTATCTTTTAATTAGAGGCAATTTTTGTACCTCTCCCTATAGTTTAAAATATTTGTGGTCCTGATGAGTGTTATAATGCTGATGAGCATTGAATTTTTTTTTAAGTGAAAGTAGATGCTTATTACAGAATAATTTTTTCTCTTAATTAAGTGTTTTAAACAAAAACTATAATACCATGAACTGATAATGACCTAGTAGCATGCACATACTTCAGGCTGGAGAGGCGTGTTTGTTCTTGATGAATTTACATATACTAAATTCTTCTGACATGTAAGTCCACAATGTATGTATGAATTGCCTTGACATGATTATTAATTTAAAGTTAAATATAAACATAAGGGCAATTTAAACACTGGCTTTAATCTATATAAGTCAGTTCAAGGTCAGTGATTAGAGACCTATATTAAAAAAAACTGAGGTCAAAAAATCTTTAGGAAGCAACCTTGTATTGATATACATTTGAAGATCAAGGACTAAAAACTACTCTCAATGAATACTGTTAAGCAAAGGATGTAGTATAACATCCATCACACGTCTGTTTCAAAAACAGCATGTTTCCAAATTATACATCTCTTTAAAAATACACATCACAGTATTAATAACTGTAGAGATGCCATTAGGATGAGTTCCAGAATATGTCTTTCACAAAGCATCCCTGAGCTGACTATTAAGGGCTCCATTTTAATTGTGGTGCTCTAAGACCATCTTTGCTTTAATTGGTTGTGTGTCTCCATTTCCATCTTCTTCATAATTGGCATGGTCCCTCTTCTTGGCAGCCTCTCCCAGTTGGCCCTGAGAGATAATAAGCTCTTAGATCTTTTGGCTATTTCTTCATCTGACACATTGACCTCCTCTGTTTCATCTTTTTCCTGTTTCCTTTTTTTTTTGAGACAGAGTCTCACTATATCACCTTTGATAGAGTGCTGTGGCATCACAGCTCACAGCAACCTCAAACTCTTGGGCTTAAGCGATTCTCTTGCCTCAGCCTCCTGAGTAGCTGGGACTACAGGTACCCACCACAATGCCTGGCTATTTTCTTGTTGCAGTTGTCATTGTTGTTTAGCAGGCCCAGGCCAGGCTCAAACCTGCCAGTGGCTGGCGCCTTAACCACTGTACTACAGGCACTGAGCCCTCTGTTTCATCTTCAACAGCTTCTGCCTTGTTCTTAGCCTTCATCTGAAGCATTAATTTTTCAACCTCACGATTAAATCCTCTGAATGCCCTAGAGAGTATCTTCACATAACAAGGAACTCTGCTCTTCTAGTACGAAACTTTCTTTATCAGGACTGGCAAATCTAAGTACCAGTGCTCTTCACCAGTGCTTTTCTCTTCCTTGTCTAGTTGTTTCTGGGTTTCCGAGTCCAGGGCCTTTTGCACGAACTTCACATGCAGTAGGTTCTCGGACAACTTAGTCTTCTGTCGGGCTGCTGTGGCGAGTGCTTCACTGAATTTCCTTAATGTTGATACTGCAATATCACACAGCAAGCAAATCACCTTATCTTTAGCAGAAATAAGATAATACTGCAATTCCCAGTCCTCATTTAAAAAATTTGTTTTCTCCCTTTAGCATTCTCTTGGCTGTCTTTGACATGATGGGCTGTTAAGCAGATAGAATTAAAAATACTGTTGAGCTGTGCATCTACTCACAAATGCCACTTCAAACAGAAACACGGTGCACTGTTTTCAAAAACTGGTAACACACTGGCGTACTCGACTCCTGTAAACTCTCACCACCCAACCTCGTGTGGTAGTGATGTGCAGTAGTGGTGCGTGTCAGGTGGGGGAAGTTAGAACTGAATCCTAAGCTAGCAGCTGTCAGTTTAGCCCTTCTGGCTTACTAATGTGCTAATTGTGCTGGTCAATCTGGGAGGATTATTTCACTGAAACTTATTTTATTCTTTGGTATTTTAAATATGCTTATTTTAAAAATAAAATAAAAATATGAAAGACGAACCAAAAATGTACTAATAAAAATAAAAAGATTTGTTTTGTAAAGTTTGGATTCAGTCAAAAGGCCACACTTAAAGGACCTAGAAGGTCACAGCTTCCCCATCCCAGGCTAGAATTACCTGGAGAGGTTAAAAATATATACACATGTCCAGAGACCTGCATCACCAGAGATTCAGATGCAGTAGGCCTGTGCTGAAGCCTAAGAAAATCTCCCCCAGGGGGGAGCTTTAAGAACCAATGAAGTAAAAGATCTTAAATACTTTTAGTCTGTATACTATTTTGCCAGAATAAATAAGCCAAAGATCTCTTACTGATTTACTATTAGAAATACTATATAAGATGAAGTATATCAAACATTTTCATGCCACTTGGGTAGGTATTAATGCCTCTGGATCATCTGAAGGTGAAATTATTATGGATAAGATAAATACCCCACCTTATTTTTTTTTGACATACTGATTTCAACTTTTCTGTCTCATTTCTAAATATATATCCATATTTGTCAGATGTAATTTTTTTTTTTTTTTTTTTTTTAGAGAGACAGTTTCACTTTATCGCCCTCGGTGGAGTGCTGTGATGTCACAGCTCACAGCAACCTCCAACTCCTGGGCTTAGGTGATTTTCTTGCCTCAGCCTCCTCTGGGACTACAGGTGCCTGCCACAACACCCAGCTATGTCAGATTTAATCTTTAATCTAGAAAATATAGTCTCACTATTATTTTTGATCTAAGCCAGTGGATGGCAGACTTTTTCTATAAAGGGCCAGCTAGTATATATTTTAGGCTTTGTGGGGCACTCTGCGCTATAACTATTCAGTTCTGTCATTATACACAAAAGCAGTCATATATAAATGAACAGGCATGGCTGTGTGCCAATAAAACTTTATATAGCAGGCAGCAGAATGCGTTTGGCCTGCAGGTAGTGGTTTCTGATTTCTGTTATAAGTCATTGGAAAGTCTCTGGGAACATTAGATGTACAGTAGTTTTTGACTTCTATAAAGTAATTTATTTGAAGCATGAGAAAATTTTACTTATATGACATACATACACACATACATTTTCTACCTTTTAAATTAACTATGTTTAAAATAAATAATAAAGATTTTCTGTTTGAGGCATGGATAGAAGGTTGCTGTGAGCGTGATGCCATGGCACTCTACCCAGGGGGATAGCTTGAGGCTCCGTCTCAAAAATAAAAATAAAAAATAAAAAAATCTATATAAAGCTAATAAACTTTTTGATATCTGTTTCTGTTTCAGTTAATTGACAGGACTAGGATTGTGATTGTCCCTTCTCTAAATCCAGATGGGAGAGAGAGAGCACAAGAGAAAGATTGTACTTCAAAGATAGGACAAACAAATGCTCGTGGCAAAGACTTGGATACTGACTTCACAAGTAAGACTAATTTTTAAGCCATTAAAGTACTTTGGAGATTATTTTCATTCTCTTTGCTAGGAGATTGGTTGATCCTATTTTTGTCAATGAGTAACAGGGGTACTTTCTTATCTAGGTTATAAATGGGAGGTATAAATGAATACACATCTGGAAAACTTTTTGAAATTTTCTTTTTTTTTTAAGTTTTTTCATAGAAATTCAATCAGTAATATTGGCCTATTCCATCACTAGTTGTATATAGATGTGTATTCTCTCTCTATTCTCCCATGGGTGTATAGATATGCTGTTCTGGAGGGGCCTGTTTCTTATTGACTTAAATGGGATCATGGACTATTTGTATTAATCTGTAACTTTTTTCATTGAATATATATTGAAATCTTTCCATTTCAGTCCTTGGAGATCTCTAACATTCTTATTAATAGCATCTTAATATGCTTTTTTTTTTTTATTTTGAGGCAGAGTCTCACTATGTTGCCCTCAGTAGAGTGCTGTGGCATCACAGCTCACAGCAACCTCCAACTCTTGGGCTTAAGTGATTCTCTTGCCTCAGCCTCCCAAGTAGCTGGGACTACAGGCGCCCACCACAACACCCGCCATTTTTCGGCTATAGTTGTTGTTAGGCAGACCTGGGCTTGATTCGAACCCACCAGCTCTGGTTTTTGTGGCTGGTGCCCTAGCTGCTGAGCTACAGATACTGAGCCTTAATATGCTATTAATCTATGGCAATACTCCATTCAATCATTCTCTACTGTTAGACATTTAGTTTGTTTCTAGTTGTTTGCTTTTATAAACAATGCTGTAAAAAACACCTTGCATTTTGAAAACTCTCATTTTCTTTCAAAGATAGCTTATATATTCCCTAGATTGTTGTTGTTGTTGTTGTTTTTGTTTTTGGGGGGTTTTTTTTGCAGTTTTTGGCCAGGGCTGGGTTTGAACCCGCCACCTCTGGTATATGGGGCCGGTGCTGCACTCCTTGAGTCACAGGTGCTGCCTGCCCCCTAGATTGTTTTTTAAAGCAAGATATGTTAATGCTTTTTTCCCAGTAAGAATTTTTTTTTAACTTTCTTAGAATAATTAGTATCCTGAAATACGTAAAACTCAGAATAACCTACCTTCTGTAAAGTATCTTTCTTACTTGAGATAGTGGCTTATGGAGAAAGAAAGTATATATCTATAGGTTTTTTCAGTTGGCATTTTTTGTTCAAGTAGGTAATATTTTCATGGATTCTCATAGCAAGATTTGAACTTTGATATTTATATTTGACTTTTCTTTAGATAATGCCTCCCAGCCAGAGACTAAAGCTATCATTGAAAATTTGATTCAAAAACAGGACTTCAGTCTTTCTGTGGCTTTAGATGGTGGTTCTGTGCTAGTCACATACCCGTATGACAAGCCAGTGCAGACAGGTATGTAGAATGTCATTTCATATATACATGTATACTATTTAACCTTCAAGGGGAAATTCCAGTTCAGTAATGTCCATCCTAAATTTTTTAAATGTTAAGCATATGATCATACTCCGTGAGTAAATACCGTACATAAGAAGATTGTACATATATCAACTGTTCAAACAAGTCCTTGGAGAGAGGTCAGGATCTAAGGAAAGCCTAGCTTTATAGAGTCTAACCATTTTGTTACATCTGTTCAATTTAGTCCACAAGCATTTATTGAGTAATCATTATGTCCGTAGACATAGGGAATACAAGTGTCTATGACATAATACCTGCCTCAAGAAAATCATGTGTAACCAAACATTAACAAGATAGAGTTACCCTCCCCTGTTTTAAACTTGGACTAACTGATTACACTTCATGGGCAGTTAAACAATTGTTTGTTGAATCTCTGTGGGGTCCACGATATATGGAGATAGTTTGGATTGTTTTTAGTGTAGCTTACAAAGAATATTGCTGTTAGACCACAGCAGCCCCCAAATACAAGTTTGTTTTTTAGTGTGGTAGATGTTTTATTGTCTTGGTCTGATTATCTTGGGATAAACAAAACCATTTAGTTAATTATGTTAACTTCTCAATAAACTTTGGTGGAATGTGAAGTTTACTAGAAGATACCATCTATCTATGAAGGTGAACCTGGAGAAAATAGTTTGAATTTCTCCACTGACTTCCAAATTTTTCTTTTTGTAGTGGAAAATAAAGAGACTTTGAAGCATCTGGCATCTCTTTATGCAAATAATCATCCATCGATGCACATGGGTCAGCCTGGTTGCCCCAATAAATCAGGTTAAGTATTTACCTTTTGTTAATGGTATTTTTGTTGCTTTGGTTGGGGAGAGGGTCTCACCTTATGGTCTTATTGATTCTACATCTCTCAACGTTATATAGATGAGAATATTCCAGGAGGAGTAATGCGTGGAGCCGAATGGCACAGTCACCTGGGCAGCATGAAGGTAGGCTTTATAGAACTTAAATGGAATTGAGAGTATTGGCCACTGAGTGAAAGAATAGGCAACCTTTCTGATATTGCAAAGGGAATGACATCTGCTTCATGGCTTTCTTGACATGTTTAGCCCTTAAATCGCCATTTTAACCACTTTTAATTTCATTGACAATGTTGTACCGCCATCACCATATCTATTCCCCAAAGCTCTTTCATTGCTCCTAAAAGAAACTGTGTACTCACTAATCAATAACTCACTATTCCCTTCTCCCCACAGCCTCTGGAACTTCTAATCTATATTCCGTCTCTATGAATTTTCCTGGTCTAAATATTTCAACAAGTGGAATCATATATACAGTGTTTATCCTTCTCTGTCTGGCTTCACTTAGCATATGTTTTTAGGGTCCATCCATGTTGTTGTATGTATCAATACTTTATTCCTTTTTATGGCCGAATCATATTCTATTGTATGTATAACCACATTTCATTTATTAATGCATGTGTTTATGGATACTTGGATTCTTTCTGCCTCTTGGCTATTGCAAATAAGGCTTCAGTGAACACTGGCATGCAAGCATCCGTTTGAGCCCCTGTTTTCAATTCTTTTGGCTGTGTACATAGGAGTGGAATTGCTAGATTATGTCGTAATTCTTTGCTTAACTTTTTGACAAATCACCAAACTATTTTCCATAGAAACTGTACCATTTTCCTTACCAGCAATGTTTAAAAGTTTCTTCTAATTTTTCCATATCCTTGCCAACACTATTAAAAAAATTATTAATAGCCATGCTAGTAGATGTGAAGTGTATTGCGCTGTGGTTTTGGTTTGCATTTCCCTGGTAGGTAATGCTGTGGAGTATCTTTCCAGTGCTTGTTGGCCATTTGCTTCTTTGGAAAAACATCTATCTGTTCAAGTCCTTGGCCCATTTTTGAAAATTGGGTTGTTTGTCCTTTTGTTATTGAGCGTAGGAGTTCTTTATATGAGGGCTGACTGGAAACTATCTGCCTAGATATGTATCTGTTTTTCATATTACATGGCTGAAGGGGTAGACCTTAGTGGGAGAGCATTTGACTGCAGTGTATGGCTGGATACTTTCTGGACAGCCCTCACGTCTTAACATAAAGAATGTATTCTGGATGTTATATATTCTGGATATTAAATCCTTGTCAGATTTATGATTTATAAGCATTTTCTCCTATTTCATAGGTTGTCTTCCTAATTTCTTCATCATGTCCTTTGATGTAAAGAAGTTTTCAATTTTCATGAAGTTCAATTTATTTTGGTTTTCTTACTTATTCTATGGTTGTCTTGTCTAATAATCCTAGCCAAATCTAAGGTCTGAATGAAGTTTTCTACTAAGGATTTTATGGATTGAGCTTTTATATTTAGTTCATTGATACAGTTTGAGTTCATGTTTATGGTGTGAGGTAGGAGTTCAGCTTCATTTGTTTGTATATAGAAAGTCAGTTGTCCAAGCACCATTTATTGAAAATTTTCTTCTGCATCAAATAGTTTTGGCATCCATGTCAAAAATCAATTGACCATAGATAAATGGATTTTCTTCTGGATTCTCAGTTCTGTTCCATTAGTCTATATATCTGTTTTTGTACCAGGACTGCTATTTTGACTACTGTAGCTTTGTTGTAATAAGTTTTAAATCAGGACGTGTGAGTTCTTCAATTTTGTTTTTAAAGATTGTTGTGGCTCTTCAGGGCTCCTCACAATCTCATTTGAAGTTGAGCATTGACTTTTCTTTTTCTGCAGAAAAGGCCATTGAGATTTTTTTAGGGGTTGAATCTATAGATCTCTTTGGGTAGCAGTGGCATCTCTATAGTACTGTCCTTCTGTTCATGAATACAGTATGTGTTTCCATTTATTTAGGTCTTCTTTAATTTCTTTTTGACCACAATTTAATTGGTTGTCCATCTACCTACAAATTAGGCCGAGTAGTGAGCAGATGGGTGGTTAGCTGGTTGTTTCATTCACAAGTACAACCAGAAAATTGACTTCATTCTCATCTCTGCCTGCCTTATCTCCTTTATTTACTTTAAACTTGCTGTTGGGAGGCACTATGCTGCACTGGTGGTAAATAAAATCTATTCCTTGGCCTATTATACAAATAACTGTGTTACAGAATTCATCTATTTGATCGAGAAGAAAGCAAGTTTCAACATCCCATGAGAATGTAAAGACAGAAAAGATTATATCTAGGCAGTAATGCAGTCTTCTCTTCATAGAGGAGATGGTATTTGGGATGTAGAACATTCCAAGAAGAGGAACAAGTGTGGAACAGTCCAGTTAAAATATGGGGTGTAATGGAGAACAGCAGAAGATGGGATGGAAAGGGAGTTTGGAGCTTTGAAAACTTTGTTTTAATAAAGAATGGGAAAAGAATGTGTGGTTAAAAACACATGATTTTTTGAACAGGGATGATATAGCCACATAATCTGAGCTGTGGTTTGGGAAAATTAATTTTTGGACAGTGAGTTAAGGTAGTTTGAAGGAAGGATAGACTGAGTGGAGAGACTGGTTTGGAATAGTCTAGACAAGAAGTAATGAGGGCCTGTATTAAGGTAGTAGCAGTGGCAGTGGAGTCAAAGGATGAAATTGATGTAGTGCAGAGGTAGAATTGATAAGATTTGGCAAATAATGATAATGATAATGAAATAAAGAAGTAAGAGACGAGAGATTTCATGGCTATGTGAGAAAGTGAGTTAATATCATTAAACGAATTAGGAAAAAGAACAGGTTTGAGGAGAAAGGTGGTAAATTAAGTTTTTGAACTTGTCCACACAGGCAGTTTTGGTGCCTAGATAAATGCTATGTTACAGGCAGTGGCTAGTGTCACCAGCAGGCTATAGCTTGAGGGTATCAGAGAACAAATGCTTATTCTTCTTTGCAGAGCTCCAAGAACAAAGATAAGGTTTCTGGGTTTAGAGGGTAGCTAGCCCTGTCTGTGTACTCATTCATTCATTCATGCATGCATTTGTCAAACAATAATAACTTCTTCTACCTACCTGGCACCATGGGAAGCACTGTAGACATAAAAATGAATTAGACATAGTGCCTGTCCTCAAGGGCTCTCTTAGGAATTGTCATGTTTGTGACTGATTACAATGCAGAGCAATTTATTTCTATTTGCTGTTAAATGCTTTATAGATTCTCTGTTTACATACCAAATACTCTGTTTTCTTTTTATTTCACTTACTTGTATTGCGAAGCCTCATTCTTATTAATTTTCCCTCATTTGACTTTAAAATTTATATTATAGGATTATAGTGTCACCTATGGCCACTGTCCGGAAATCACAGTGTACACAAGCTGCTGCTACTTTCCTAGTGCAGCACAACTCCCTTCCTTGTGGGCAGAAAATAAACGATCTCTTCTTAGCATGTTGGTGGAGGTGAGTCCTTCCCCTTTAACTAGAAGCAAACTTCAGGGATATGTTCAGTGAAAACCTTTATCAAAACATTGTCATAATCTTTTACTAACAATGTATATTATTTATTTTAAATTTATATAGAAATATTTTTGTCCAGCGTATTTTTCCTAAGTAGGTGCCATTCGTTACCTATCTGGAATCTGCTATAATTTAGGTAATTTGATCTGGCAAGATGTTGCAAGTTCTTTAATTTGAATATCACACTGTTACTCGAGTCAGTGTACTGTGGTGAGCAGAAAATCATTCAAGGTCTTAGAGCAATGATTTTCAACCCATGTGCTATGAGAAGTCTTAGGTCTGCTGGGAAAATTTTTAAAGATCATTAAGGCCAGGCACATTGGCTCATGCCTATAACAACTATATATTAGTTATTATATATATATATATATATATATGAGTTATATACAATAACTCATGCCTATATAACTCTGGGAGGCTAAGGCAAGTGAATTGCTTGAGTGCAGGAGTTCAGGGCCAACCTGAGCAAGAGTGAGACCCCATCTCTACAAAAAATAGAAAAACTAGCTGGGCATTTGTGGCAGGTGCGTGTAGTCCCTGCTGCTTGGGAGGCTAAGGCCAGAGGATTGCTTGAGCCCTAGAGTTTACAATTGCTGTGAGCCCTGATGATGCCACGACACTCTACCCAGGAGCACAGAGTGAGACTCTGTCTCAAAAAAAAAAAAAAAAAGATTATTATTTTCAAAAGAAGTTCAAAGTCCAATAAGTATTTTTTTTTAATCAATATAATTTAAGTGTGACACAAGATAAAAAAGATTGAAAAAGAGTGTATTAGAAGATTGTTAGGCTTTGACTGTATCAGAGTTCTCTTTTAAATCCATCTCTGTGACTCAGAAGCATTGAATGAGGAGCAAACAAGGTCAGAATCAGTGAAGAGGGAGAAATAAGCAAGCCCTGTAGCATGTGAGGGGATTTTTTTGTTTGCTTGCTTGGGTCATGTTTCAAACTATTGCCTCTAGAATAACTGGCATTGTGAAAACATAAATTTATATTTTAAACATTTTTTTTAGGTTCACAAGGGAGTTCATGGATTTGTTAAAGATAAGACTGGAAAACCAATCTCTAAAGCAGTCATTGTACTTAATGAAGGAATAAAAGTACACACAAAAGAGGGAGGTTATTTCCATGTTCTTTTAGCCCCAGGTGTCCATAACATCAATGCCATTGCTGACGGGTACCAGCAGCAACATTCACAGGTAAGAAACTCCCACATTGAGTAGTATCGTATAAATTTTTATCCTTAATAATGCTTCTGTTTTATTTTGAACTCTTGGCAGAAAGTTTAAAAGGAATACAGAAATCAAAAAGTGTAAGCTACCCCTTGATTATGATATTTTATCATCTTTTATCTGTTGATAAAACAAAAGGGAAGTTTTTATAACATGTTGTATGCTTTAGACGGCCGTGTTTCATCTCCTTGGTTTGCTGGCCAGGCCCTAAGAATGTAGCAGGGATACAGTATGCCTTAAGTAAATTCCTTATCCTTACACTTTGTCCTTCTAGGTCTTTGTGCATCATGATGCAGCTAGTTCCGTGGTAATAGTCTTTGACACAGATAATCGGATATTTGGTTTGCCAAGGGAACTTGTGGTAACTGTATCAGGTAAAGAAATTTTCATTTTTAGTAGTTAATTAAAGCCAGTCTTGACATTTCAGTTTGAGAGTGGATTGCCTCCATGATCCCCGGCAGCTAATCATTTTCTTCTGCTGTCTCCTTGTCTAAACGTGATTTTTCTGGGATCGATGTTCTCCTGGCTTTCTCTTCGCTGTTTTCAAATGTCACCTCCACAAAGAGGTGTTCCCTGGTCTCCCTAACTAAAATAGTACCCCTGTCACTTTCTCTACCCTTTTTTCCATTATAGCTGACATTGTATTAGAAATGTATTCATTTATTTATCTATATTCAATCTTTCTCATTAAAACATAAGCACTGACAGAGCATCCCCAGAACGTAGATCCATGATTGGTACATAGTGGGTCTTAATGAAGAGTTGTTAAATGAATGAGTGAATTATTTACTTTTTCAGGCGTCCTCAAACTACGGCCTGCAGGCCAAAGGCAGCCCGCCTAGGACATGTATCCAGCCTGCTGGGTGTTTTTGCCGCAGCTGCCTGTCCTGCTTAGCAGCCAACTCGTCCCGGGGCCCGCAGTCCAGCCCTCCAACGGTCTGAGGGACAGTGAACTAGCCCCCTGTTTAAAAAGTTTGAGGACCCCTGATGGGCTTTAAGTTCTTACGACTTTAACTTTTATTAGTTCATCTTTTCCAAGATCTAGGAAAGAAGATATATTTGTTTTCTCCAGGGTTAATTTGCACTATTGCTTGAATTACTGAAAGGTTAAGAAGGAGAAATACGTTGTAAAATAAATACTCTGCTGTACTGTATCTATTTGACCCAAAGAGCCTTAGTGCATTTATTTCCACGTCAACTTAGACTTGAGGCAAAATAAACAAGTTTTAATACAAAGTGGCCTGTCTTGTTCATATAGGCCTCTGAAAGTGGTCTATATGAATTGGGTTCTTTGTCCTAATGTTTCATTTGACAATCTCTTTTTGATTGACCAATTTTGTTAAAATTCTGTTGAAAGCTTTTAAACCTGGCTCCCTCCATTAAAAACAAAATGTAAATTATGGACTGCTATGTGATGTAACATGGTATGAGCTTGTGTATGTGAGAAAGATCCTTAGCTGAAAGTAGTATACTGGAGGGCGGGTGCCTGTAATCCTAGCACTCTGGGAGGCCAAGACGGGTGGATTGCTTGAGCTTAGGAGTTCAAGATGAACCCAAGCAAGAGAGAGACCCCTGTATCTATGAAAAATAGATAAGGAAGCCAGGCGTTAGGGCCAGGCGCCATGGCTCACACCTGTACTCCCTGCACTTGGGAGGCCAAGGTGGTTGGATTGCCTGAGCTCACAGGTTCAAGACCAGCTTGAGCCAGAGCGAGACCTCATCTCTAAAAAACAGCTGGGCATTGTGGTGGGCGCCTGTAGTCCCAGCTACTTGGGAGGCTGAGGCAAGAGGATCGCTTGAGTCTGAGAGTTTGAGGTTGCTGTGAGCTATGATACCAACACTGTACCTAGAGTGACAGAGTGAGACTCTGTCTCAAAAAAAGAAAGAAAGAAAGAAAGCAGTGGTATGTTAAAGAGCTTTTAGTACAAATCAGATAAAGTATAAATAACTTAGTGGTTAAAAACACATGAGCTAGGGTTCAGCTGTGGTTTAAATCTATGTCACCCATTTTTATTATTTTGTTGTTTTTTTGTTACTAAGACTCTTATTCTGATAATCTTATGTATAAATTTAAAATAAATGAGGAGTTTGGATGAAATAAGAAGTTATTAAAAGGGAAAAACAGAAGTTTTATAAAGCAGGAACAGAACAAGAGAGAGGGTTATTTCATTGTGGTAAAAGAGGAAAAATAGATGTACATAGACTTGCATAAAGAAAGATCTGAAAAAATTGAAAAAACTAGACTAAGATAATTAAAAATTATCTCTAGGTAATGGAAATGTAAAGATGTGAGGCTTTATGGTTTTGGTTTTTGCTGTTTTACTTAACTGCATTTTAGTAACTTTGTATACTATTCATATACTGCTTCTGTGATAATAAAAGGTTTTTCTTAAGTGCATGCAATAAAAATTAAGTAAATAAGGGACATACTTACTCATTTTAAGGGGCATATTTATTCATACCCTTAAAGTATACCACCACCCACGAGATGGTTTTTGTTTGGCAGGTGCCACCATGTCTGCCTTGATCCTAACAGCTTGCATTATTTGGTGCATCTGCTCAATCAAGTCTAACAGGCACAAAGATGGCTTTCATCGGCTCAGGCAGCATCATGATGAGTATGAAGATGAAATTCGCATGATGTCCACCGGCTCCAAGAAGTCCCTCCTAAGCCATGAATTCCAGGATGAAACAGACACTGAAGAGGAAACATTATATTCCAGCAAACATTGAAAAACACACTTTGCATTATCTCCCAGCATAAGTACCAAGCAAAATTATAGTTCCTCTTGGGAGACACTGCATTAAGAAGATAAACTGTCTTGTTTCTACAAAGAGCTTTGGGAAGTTAACTTGCTAAATTTGTATTTTCTGTGAATTTTGCTGGCAGTTTTGAACTTCCCTTCCTTAAAGTACTCTTAACCTTTAAAAAGAAATCTGATTTCTATTTATGCAGCAGAGATGGGACAGCCACTTTGTTTTTCTTTTTAATTTAAGATAAGCTATTTGGATCTTATGTAATAGTGGCATAAAGCCAATAAGTGGATGTTGTATTTTGCACATCAGGTATTTACTAGTGGCTTTAGGTTTTTTTTTTCTTTACTTTAAATGGCCAAAAGAATCCAGAAACGTTAAGGCAGGGACAGCAGTCAGAATCTGACATAAAGCTTTAAAAACTCGAGGTTTTCTCAGCCTACTGAGGAGTGCTTTTCTCTAGTTATGAAATAGCTGGAGTTTCTCTTATTCAGGTTTAATGGAGGTCGAATTGATTTTAAAGCAAATACATTAGGAAATGAACAAGTAGGCTTCCACGTTTAGCTTTCTACCTGTTCCAAAGCTAGATCAGAACTGGTGGGCTGTGCTCTAAGCAGGATTTCACTACCTCTCTTGTAAGGTTTAGCAGAATTCCCATTTTAAGGGAGAACTAAGGGATTTGTTGCAAAAGACCTAACTGTCCACTTTAATGGAACTGAGAGGGAGATCTAGCAAAAGCTAAAAATCATGTTGCCTATCTTTTAACTTGGTGAAAACCCACAGGTGCTGCTGCTTTTATCTGTGAAGCACTAGCTTATTCTAGGAATGCCTGATTCTTTAATATTTCCTCAATTTGAACCCTTTTCTATGTTGTACACTTAAGGTTTTCAGATGACTCAACCGTCTGCAAGATCTGAATTCTACTGAAAATATCTGGAGGTGTGGAAGAGACCTACTTGCGCCTTTTCTTAGCCTACATTTGACATAAAATATCTATACTTCGTGCTCCAGCCCAAGCCTGTGCCCTATAATAGCATACTATTATTGAATAGCTTGGCCTGTCTTGTTCATATAAGCCTCTGAAAGTGATTGGGTTCTTTGTCCTAATGTTCCTTTTGATAGTCTCTTTTTGATCAATCAATTTAGGCAAAATTCAGTTGAAAGCTTTTAAATATGGCTCCCTCCATTTAAAAAAAGTATAAACCGTGAACTGCAGTGTTACGTAACACTATGGAATGAAAGTGTCATCTTCACTGCCAATCAGGCAGAGACCAGAAAAATTACATTTTATTGTGTTTATCTTACGCTATTCAATGGAAAAGATGCTTTTTGTAAGTATGAGTCTTACCAATGATCTAATGGTTTAATACCTTTGAATGTTTTAATGGCCAAGTTGCTGCTGAACTTGTACTAAATCAGGGGATCAAAAAACTTGTTCTCATCTTTTCAAATTGTATTCTGTAGCCATTAATGTATCAGTCATCCCAAAGCTTTCATGGTGGTGCAATGGTAGCACATCTGATTCCAAAGCCTTCATGTAGAGTGGTTACCATCCATCCACCTAGTCATTCAACCAAGTTTTGTGATGAATGCGTCAACGTGGCTTTATAAAAAATTTTTTCTTCAGCAAGAATAGTGAAGTCATCACATTTGTTAATAAGTATCTGGATAAATCTGAGGATTCAGCGTTAAGCTATTTGGTATTAATTATGGTATTACCAACTCTGAATTATGCCACCTCAGTCTCATCCCACCACATAGTGGAACAAGCTTGTGGAATGCTAATAGTGAATGAAATATACATGATTTAGTTTCTTCTAGTCTTTTATTTTTTCTTCAAGGGTGTAGTGTATTGCTCTTTTTCAGCTTTAATTTTAAGAGTACAAAGTCAGAAAACCAACAAGGGTGACTATCTGGCCCTACTTGGAATACATACTGTGCTAGAAATGAAACAAAGTTTAAGTGACGGCCTTTGCTTTAGTGGCATTGGTCTTCACTAGATACTATCTTTTACATTTACTTCTCTTGGATTAAAAATA